ATAATATTTGCTAATATTTGGTTTTGATTATTTTTCCATTTCTTTCCTAAGTAAGAGTGGTTTATCACTTTTATTTCTTTCATGATCCTCTCAGGATTTGTCTAGAAATTTTGTTTTTAATACCTCTGTTTCTAGTCTGTAAAATGGTTTGTATATTATGGAATGATACAATTGTAGAATTTTGGTAGAAATCATCTGTAAAATAATCACAGCTCAGGGTTTTCTTGGGAAGATTTTGATACATTTATCCAATTTCTTTAATTGTTAAGAGATGATAGGGCCTTTTAGAGTAAGGTTTAGTTTCTCAACAAAATTGATCAATTATGATTAATCATGTTTGTTGGCACAGCCCGAGTTTACTATTCTTTATATATATTTATATATCATAGCACTAACTTATGTTTTTTTAAATCTAATCTCTAYCTTTTTACTGCTTCTCAAAAGTAATTATAATGCCAAAATTATAGTCCTGATGGTCTAAACATTGGAGAGCACCATGCTTCTTGATCCTTTCTCTACAAATGATAGAAAGGATTATGTATTAGAAAGTATATGATATTCTATGACTGCTGTAAACATAATTACAAATTTGTTCTCTTGCAGTTCTGTGGCACTGGACCCAGACCTTGTGGCCAAATTCAAGGTGCAAGYAGGGCTATCTGTATTTTTCTCTGGAGGCTAGAGGAGACAGAACTTCTTTGCTTTTCCATGTTCATATGTTTTCATGTGTGGCCCCTCCCCTTCCTTCCAAACCAGCTATGGGTTGTCTCCTTATCACATTTCCTTGTGCATTTCATGAGTGATCACATCTCCCTCTGACTCAGAACTCATATATCCCCTTTTCMCTTTTTCTTCACAACCCTTGTGGGTTACTACAGGATATTCTATTTTAAGGTTCATTGAATCACAGTCCTAGTTCCATCCACAATCCTAATTCCTGAGGATGGAACTTCTGAGTGACTATTATTCTGCCTACCATAGAAAAGTAAGGGAGCTTTACTCAAAATACTCACTATATTTCATCCAATATAATATTAAACATTTTAAGTGAATTATGACAAAATTAAAATAAGCAATTGATTGTGAAATGAATCCCAATTTCAGAGACGTTAAAAGGTATATGTACTTTAAAAATCAGTTGTTGATTAAAATGCCTAATGGAATTTTTTCTTCCAGTATCTATACATCTACCTACTGACCTACCAAACTATCTCCCTCACCAAAACTACAGGAAAAACTGTATGATAAATGGCATAGTAAAAATGATTTTTGCTTTATACCTTCTAAGTAACTTTTCAAATAAAAGTCACATAAATAACTTCAATTTATCAATGGAAGCATCTATATATAACACCCCATGATGTCAATGAAGCCCAATTCATTTAAAATGTATATTCCTTTTGACTTAACAAAAGAAAAATAGTTTTGATATTATAATAAGATATAAAATGTATTTCTGAGTGTATATATTTCCTATTTCCAATTTTATTCTGTAACTTTATTCAAATATTTTTCTTGTAGCCATAAYTATATTTATATTTGTTTCTACCATATGAATGCACCATGACATAAAAGAAAGATAATTCTCATTATAGTCAGAAGAGCTTGGGTAGAGGCCCAGCATTACCACTTTCTAACAGTGATGCTTGCAAATTTCTTACCTTTCCTCAGGAACCAGAAGATGTGCTAGAAACTGCTGCACATTGAATGCCAATTAACAATGAACCACTTTGAAAGTGTTATTATGAAGTAGATAATAAAACCTCCATTTAAGAGGTGTGGAACCCAAGCTATTAGAGTGTTAGATAAGTGCCACTTTCACATGAGTAATAAACAGAAGTATAATATGTCAAAATATATTCTACTAAAAAGAATAAATTTTTTAAAAACAAAAATGAGAAAATAAATAAATCTAGATGTCTGACTTAAAATCTATCATTTTTTGTTTTATCTCACAGCTTTCTTTTTTCTAAAATAGTAATGATAATAGAACTAGAGAGCTCAGACTTTGAGGTAATTAAATAAAATGTCTGGGAATGTATTATTGGAATTCTAATTTTGCAATACAAAGTTTACTATTGCTCTTAAAATACAGGTATTATTCTCCATTCATAACTCAAGTTAATAATATAAATTCAAAACCTTTAACTGCTATCCTTCCTTTTTTGCTCTGTATACAGCAAGAGTAGGGAAAAATGTCGAAGAAGTTATCATTCAACCCCATATTATTCAAATCAYAAAGTATTTTTTGTTATAGTATCCAAAGGGAAATAGGATGAATTCCTATGTTACAAATAAAAGATKAAAGAAGGGGCATGCTGAGTTCAGAAAGCATCTGATAAAAACACAACACTTTGTATTATATAGGGAGACTTTAAAATGTGTATAAAAATTTTATGGATTTTCATCCAAAATGTATTTTGCTATGTTTTACTAGAAATTACAGCATCTAAGATGATTAATAAGCTATATGTATTTATTTAATATCATTTTGCACAGTGCCACTTATATGAGTTATTTAAAGTAGTCAAACTTTTAGAAACAGTATGCTTATCAAAAACTGAAAAAAAAGATAAATCCATTAGGAATTACCATAAAACATCTCTTGGTAATACAACTTTCCTAACAAAGATCTCCATAAAATTGTAATCATTTTTTAAAATTTCTCATTGACATACAATAATTGTTCACATTTACGAGGTACAATGTAATAATTTGATGCATAGACTGCTATGACCCACGACTAAAGCAGTCAGGGTCACTCCAGGAATGACACAGACACAGAAAGTACCTTTTTCTTGGGGTTCAATGACTRCTCTGCTGCCCCAGTTCCCACAAGGGAGGCATAAGAGGCAGGGAAAAGAGAGCGCAGCCTGAATCCTTATTTATTAGGGGGAAGACACTTGAGAAACTTCCACCCAAATGAGTAAAGGGATTGGGTTTCAGGGGGGTGTAGTCCAGGCCCAGGCTGTAATTCCTTGCTAAGTGAAGATGAGGTCTGGTTCCACACTGCCAGCAGAAGCCAGTTCCACACCTCCATCACTCAAGGCTAAGGGTATGTGCTCAACTCCTATGTGCACAGCTCCTATGTTCATGGTGGCCCCYGGCAATATACAATGTGTAATGATCCAATTTGTTTAATTTTTAAATTAAGTCAAAGAGAATTTTTTATTAGCACTTTTTATTAATGTTAATATACTTGCTGCATATACGTCTTTTCTTGTGAATAAATATGTAAGCATCGGGGAATATTTTGGCCTTAATCTGTAAGTCACAAATAAAAGACCTCAACTGGATTAAATAATAAGAAGATATATTGGCTCACATATCAAGAAATCTAAACATTAGACTGGACTTCAGGGGTGGATAATGTAATGTTTCAGCTAGGTTAGCCAAGAGAAGGATCTGTCCACCTCCCCCTTCTGCACTGTAGGTAGTCAGATTCATCCCAACAATGGCTTCTATTGTGGTTATAGYAATCATGGTGGCATTTCTCCAATTATTATACATACTTACAGTGGGGACATTTAGGAAGCAATTCTAACCACTAAAATGTTCCTTTTATCAGCTCAATGAGCCCATCAGAACAGAGGTCACATGTTCCATCCAGGACAGTTCCTATATGGTGGCTGGCTTAGGTGGGCTCCTGAAATGAACCCTGGATAGGCCTGGACTAATCATAAAGATATTGCCTGTCATTTCTCTCATTTGGTCAAGCAAAGCAAGACCTCGCTGATCTGCCAGTTTTAAAGAGAGAGTCTGTAGGAGGGGGAAGATAGCACAGCACGTCAGTGCAAGAAAAGGTACCTATTTTGAGAAAAGCTTTATTGATGATCAAATGTTTCCATGGTTAGGGTGATTAAAACTGCATCAAGTTTTGATTTCTGGAGATTCAGGAAAGAATAGAAAAAAACTGCAGAAAGCAGGTTAGTGAGGTCACAGTGGGAGTTTCATCCCTAAATCAGTTCAGCTTCTCCCTAACTGTGTTGCTCTTTATGCTCTTGGTCCCTTAGGCACCACATATTCCCATCATCATTATCATATTTCCAAATCACCTCATAAMCACCAACTTTATAGTAGTTTAATTATTTTGAACATTTTTATCTAAGATTTTAAACATAGAAGGAGGTTAATGAGAGCTAAAGTTAAAGGAAATAGTTTGAATTATTTTAAAAATATCCATAACTATTTATTTAATTTCATTCATTTTTATTTATTATTCATTTTGCAATGAACAAATGACACCACAACCAATGGTTAATTTAAAATATCATCCTTCAGAAATGAAGCCCACTTGATATGCCCCAGATTATGACACAAATACATTTTACCAATTATACCTTTTTACATAAAACTATATGACTTAAAATAGAAAAAAAACAATATTTGGGTATTTTTGGACAGGTAAATTGATTTTTATATAGATGCATTTATTTTAAAATATAAACATATATATGGCCATTCTCTCAAAATTAGAAAAACTGTGAGTCATAGATTCTACTGGTTGAATGGTTATGTTTTATGGATTTTAGATATCCAATTTAAGAGATGGAAAATTTGTTGCTATATGCACTAAGAATCCTTACAAGTCAGGCAAATTAGATGGTCTTTCTTCTGATACACTCTGCAAGTAACTTCAACCACATAAATAAAACAGAAAAATAAATCAATATATTTTGTCCTGAGTTACCAGTAACAATAGAATTTTATCAAATGTATGTGTTTATCTTTGGAAAGTCAACAAAAAAGAATTGATGATAGTCTTGAAGTATCATTTAAAAATTGTCTCCATATATAGCTAATACATGACTTGAAATGATTTCATTAATAACAGAAGTATTAACCAATGATTAAATATGTTGGTGGAATACATATTTCTCTAACATTCTAAAATATTTCTTTAAAACTTCCACACTAAATATTTTACTATATTTAAAGCATCCATATATTCAAAGTCTCCAGAATTCCCACAAAATGTGAAAATGTTAACACACACTTACCGACAGTGTCACAGGGTTCATCTTTATGTACACAGAAATCTTTCCTAGAAAAAAGAGTAGAAAATCAAAGTAAAGATAAATTTATTTGCACAATCAGTAGATATCACGTGACTCATTTTAATAGTTATGATTAATTAAACACATCTTTTATCCCCTAAGTATTTAATWAATAAAATTAAGAATAAGATTTAACTAATCATTAATTCTAAAAAAATGGAAGATTAAGATTTCATGGTACATTTATAACTAATGTTGAGACATTGTCTCTTGTTTTAAATTTTTGCAAGATTGCATGTTTTATTTTAAAACAAATAGTATCTAGTGTTTGAATATGGCTTTCCACTTGTATAACTATTAAAAAATCTCTACTTCACATGACAAATATATTTTTCAGATTGGAATTTTAAATGTAAGGAATAAAATTTAGAACAGCATAACATTTKTATAGCATAAGATTAGAAAATAATTTTAATGGCCAATAATCTTCCAATAAGGGCCTGATGGAATTAGTATTTACACAAGTGGAATCTATCTATAAATAACCTTCTACAATTTTACTATATCTTGAAGAGCATTCCTTAGGAATACTTCACTCTTATTACCAGTTACTTAGGATTTCACAGACCATAATTTAGTAGAACTTAATCATTAAGCAGTTTGAGATTTACAGCATGCTGTAACAAAAATCAAAACATTTTATGTGCCTCTTACTCTTAGGCAATCACTTCACCTTCTTGTGCCTCAGTCACCTCATCTAAAACTTAGAATTAATAAAAATKTATCACATAGTTTGATTATGTAGGTCAAAAGATTTAACATATAAAACATGTAAGCATGTTTATTGTGTAAGTTGAGTGAATTATTTCATATAAGCCATTAAAACAATGCCAGGCATAGAGTAAACACAGTCAATTTAGCTATTTACATTTTTCTGTGTATTTGTTTCCATTGCTGCTATCCTTTTACCATAACATAAGCAATTTTCTATTGTTGAGCATTTAGGTTCTGTTAAACATTGACTATTATAAACAATATTACAACGTTCCTATGTATGTGTGTGAAGGAGAAAATAAAAACTATCTTTAAAAAGGAAATTCCTCTTTCATAGGATCTGAATGCCATTCCTAAATGAGAAAAATGACTTTAAAATATTAGCATGATACTCCTGCCAACTCTCCAAGGATATCTATATTAATAACTAAAATGGCAAGTTTTCAGTTACAACTGTTTGGCTGATCAGAAACATTTATGATTTGGTAACTACATATAATTTTGCAAATTTCCTTGCATGATTGAATGCATGTTGTATATTTGCAGCAGTTCCATCCATGCTCACTAGATTCAGCTGTTAACTGTTCTGATAGGCAATTCATTAATACAATAAACAAATTAGAATTGATCAATACATCTGTTGCTGAGGAAGTACTGCTGAAAATCCAGAGTGGTTATAAATTCTTTTGACTTTTCCTTCTTGTAGTTTACTAATTTTGCTTTGTTTATTTCAAAGCTAAGTTATTGAGTACTTAAACTGTTTTTTATTGTTTTAAATTACTGTTTGAATTACTGTGTAAAATTCATATTTATMCCTTATATTTTCTTTGTTAAAGATTATTATGTCTGATATTGATAGATATTAAGATATTAGTAATACATGGTTATTTGCTTACCCAATCTTCTTTTTCACTTTTAAATTTCATTTGAGTCTACTGCAAACAGCATATGGTTAAAAATTTAATCTATTAATATAATAATCTTCAAAGTGAATTTAATCTTTTCTCCTCCTCCTCCTCCTCCTCCTCCTCCTCTTCCTCCTCTGGATTTGTCTATAGTCTTACTTGTGATCTCTATTTACCAACCTATATTTCTTTGTTCCTTTCCTATTTAGTTTTATTTCCCTCTCTTTTATCTAAAAGTGCTTTAAAGCAATATTAAATTGTGTTTCCTGTGTGGCTACATTTACATTTTAAATAAGAATCCATTAGCTTCCTGTTTCTGCTGCAAAAATTATTATTTGGTAGAAATAATGCATATTTATTATCTTACAGTCCAGAGGTAACATCTGAAATGATTTTTGCTGGGCTAAAATCAATGTGTTGGCAGTATAGTGTACCCCCAAGAAGCTCCAGGAGAGAGTCACTTACCTTGCATTTTTCAACTTCTAGAGGTGGCCAAATTTCATTTTATTTTTAATTGGTGCATTATAATTATACTTGATAATGTGATTCATGTGACATATTCATACATGCACATGCATAATTTGGCCCATTGCATTCCCTGTAATCCCCTTCCTTTTCCTCCTCCCTCCCTTCATCTCCTTCTCTAGTCTAATGGTTTTTAACTCCTATTTTCACAAGGTCTTTTTTCTTTACTTTTTTTCCCTCTGGCTTCCACATATAAGAGAAAGCAATCCTTAACTTGAGTTGCTTATTTTGCTCTTCAGTACCATCTATTTTCCTTTAAATGACATAACTTCATTCTTGTTTATGGCTGAATAAAACMTCACTGTGTCTATATACACACTCTATTTATCCATTCATGTGTTGACAGAGACCTATGTTGGTTCTGAAACCCTGCTGCCAGACTTCTTGACCTGTGGTCCCTTTTCAAGCCAATTTCCCTCTAATCCCTGCTCCCATCAAAACATCTCTCTCTGCCTCTCTCCTGTATACCCTGGGATTGTATTGCATCAACACTAATAATTCTGGTCCTTAACATAAACTTACCTACAAATCCTTTCAGTTATATAATATTTTTTAAGGTTTTAGAGATTAGAGCATGGACAATTTTGGGAGAACATTATTCTGCCTACCGAATGAACTTTTAGTGTTGAAAGCTAAAAATTATCTCGTATAGTCATCTTCTAAAAAAAACCACAAAGACATATTGTGCTTTTAATTTTTTTATTGTTATTTTTTTTTTATTTTGGGGGTGCAAGGAATTGATCCCAGGGTGCTTAACAACTGAGCCATATCCCCAGCCCCATTTTGTATTTTATTTAGAGACAGGATCTCACTGAGTTGCCTAGGGCCTCACCAAGTTGTTGAGGCTGGTTTTGAACACATGACCCTACCATCCCAGCCTCTGTAGCCACTGGGATTATGGGTGTGAGTCACTGCACCCAGCCATATTGTGTTTTTAATCAAATCTCATCCTCAATCTTTCATATTTTTAAATCTGATACTGGAGTCGTGTGTGTGTGTGTGTGTGTGTGTGTGTGTGTGTGTGTGTGTGGTGCTGGGGATTGAACCCAGGCCCTTGTGCATGCAAGGCAAGCACTCTACCAACTGAGCTAAATTTCCAGACCCTTCTTGATTTTTTAAGATCTCAAATTAGAAGTTTTTAAACCATCAGTGCTTATTTGGCAATTTTCTTATGTATTTAGAAAGCGTTTTCTCAGTTATAACTTGTACATTTACTATGTACACAGCACATTATTTTTTTTAAAGAGGGAGAATTTTTTTTTAATATTTATTTTTTAGTTTTCGGAGGACACAATATCTGTATTTTATTTTTATGTGGTGCTGAGGATCGAACCAAGTGCCCCACGCATGCCAGGAAAGCGCGCTACCGCTTGAGCCACATCCCCAGCCCAATGGCACATTATTTTTAAATGCATGCTTTCATGAAGACTGTGAATAGTAAACTTCTCAGTTTTGTGTCCTTCATTTTTATTATTTTTCATTTATTCATAGCAGAGAAGGAGGTTGACTTTATTATCAGTACACCAAAGATATTACTTCTTTTTTTCTAGCACTTCTAAAAATGGATTAGAAGTCTGCCATCATGTTTTTTTCTCTTCTTTCCTACATTTGGTCTCCAGTTAGTTTTAATGTTTATTTTTATCTTTGTAGTTCTTCAGTTCCACCTAGAAGTCTCTGAATGCTGATACTGTTTTTATTTCTCTTCTTTGATATTTGGTCTATCTTTCAATCTGAAAAACTGAAAACACAAAAACTGTTATCTCTGACATTCTCTCTGCTCTCTTATCCTAGAACTCCTTTAGGAATATGTCCTTTGTGCTTTTTTTGACATCTGTTAACTCTCAGTCACTGTCTGCTTTCAGACTATTTCACCAATCTGTGGAGAACCCCAAAGATGTACTATCCATTCTACAGGTGCTTTCTTCAGCTACATCTTTAACTTGGAATTTGAAATTTAAAGTGTAAATATCATATTTATTTTCTGGAAATTTTATTATTTTTCATCTTTAAAAGCAAATATTCTTCCCAAAACATCTCACACTCAAGAGTTAAAATTTTTCTTGTTAATCATGTAAACTTTTGAATTTTATAATCCCTGTCAGTAATTTTTTAAATTATTAGTCATAGTTTTGACTCTTGGTCACAATAACAAAGGAACATGTTCTCATTGAGCATTTTGGAATTCTATGAAGAACTCATTAAACTGTACTTTATTTGTAGGGGCCTTATGTGATGTAAGTTAAGAGAGGGTCCTTCCAGAGCAGTTTTGAAAATGGTTTCACTAAATGCTTCATTTTTGGAATCAGATTCACAGAAATAAAGACCTAAGCAACCACTTTTCCCATCCTGAGGTCATGGATGACAAAGTGATTCCTGGTTCATAACCTGTGTTTGCTGGCAGAACTTTTAACACATCACAGTGTTATGAAGAATTGAGGTATCTAAGAGTTACAGTTCTCTGTAATCATTTCAGGTCCTCTTCCAACTTTGTATAGTGCCCATGTGGATGTTCAAACCCCAAAACCAAGATTACTTGATGCAACAAACTCCCTCAGGGAAGTGACCATATTGCCTCAGCAGCTGACTACGTTTGCTGCCGTGGCTCTTTTTGACTTATGTGTGCACATGAAAAGATGTTTCACATATTTTTTCTATAGCTTATAGATGTCTAAAATGGGCATATTTTCTGATTGTCTTGTCAGGCAGATAACCATGTAGTTAATTTTTTTTAATTTTTTTTATTGGTTGTTCAAAACATTACAAAGCTCTTGACATATCATATTTCATACCTTAGATTAAGTGGGTTATGAACTCCCATTTTTACCCCAAGTACAGATTTCAGA